AAAGTTGTAAATGTTTGAGTGAGTAAACTTTTGAAGATGGAGAAAGAAGATGAAACAATGGAGAATAATACATCATTGCTATATTCTCAAAGGTATGTTAGTTTCATTTTAAATAGTATTGCTAATGATGATCGAACACGGTACCACCAAAGAGTGCCATCAAAGGATGCCACCAAAGGATGTCATCAAGGTATGCCACTAATGGGTGCCACCAAGGGATACCACCAAAAGATGTCATCAAGGGGTGTCATCCAAAGGGTGTGATCATATCGTTAACCAAGGGATACGAGTGCATCGTGATCCAAGAGGTACGAACGTATCATGATCCAAGAGGTACGAACGTGTCGTGACCCAAGTGGTACGAATGTGTCGTGACCCAAGAGGTACGAACGTGTCGTGACCCAAGAAGTGCAAACGTATCGTGACCCAAAGGGTGCGAACGGTTCGGGACCGAAAGGGTGCGAACGATTCGGGACCGAAAGGGTGCGAACGGTTCGGGACCGAAAGGGTGCGAACGGTTCGGGATCGAAAGGGTGTGAATCGTTCGAGATCTAAAAGGTGCGAATGTACCATCACCGGAAAGGTGTGAATGTAATGTCACCGAAAAGGTGCGAATGTAACGTCACCGAAAGGGTGCGAACGTAACGTCACCGAAAGAGTGCGAATGTAACGTCTCCAAAAGGGTGTGAATGGGGTGCAAACGTAATGTTACCAAATGGGTACGAACATAATATCATTGATACTTATAAATGCAAGTAATCAGGGTTAAGGCCGAGCCATCATGAGTGGTAAACATATTGTTCATGGTCGGGTGCTATGGACTATGATCCATGATATGGATCGATGGCTCGAAAAGAAGTGTAAATGAAGTAGCCTTAAGATTTTATTGTACCTTGTAATAAGTATAAAATGTATACATTTATTTGTATGGTAAAGAAAGCACCTTAGCATTAACATCAAATGTTTAATGAGATTGTCTTATCAAGTGGTTTGAGTTAAACTACTAGGACAAGTGTTTATATAACAAATTGATGAATTCAGTAATGGAATAATCATTTGCTTATATGTTGATGACATATTGATCTTTGGCACTAGCCATAGATAAGTAGAGTTTACAAAAGCATTATTTTCATCAAGTTTTACAATGAAAGACATGGGAAGGTGGATGTGATTCTTGATGTTTGAATCACACATACAAATAAAAAACTATCTTTAACAAACTCTCTTTATATTGAGAAAGTGGTTAAGACGTTTGATTGTGAGATTGTTCTCCACTGACAACTCCCATGGATGCGAGTGTGAAGACTGGGCCTTATAAAGGACGATAAATATCACAACTCGGGTGTTTGAATGAAAACATAAATTATGGTTTGTTTTATGTCAAATTTCCTTCGTTGGTAGAAGGGTATTTAGATGAAAATTTGATTATCAATATAGAAGATCATTCTTCTATAAGTGGTTGAGTGTATTTGCTTGGGGAGGTACCATTTCATGGGCTTCCAAGGAGTAAATTCGCATGAAAAATTTGACTATAAAATAAAAATTTGTAGCATTAGCATATGCTAGTAAACAGAATATTGAATAAATAATTTAATTTATAAGATTCTGTTTTGGCCGAAATAGTATCACCAGTTTCTATCTCTGATAGTTAAAAAGTCTTGGTTAAAGTTTATAACTAAGTGTATAATGGTAAGTCGCGACACCTGGCGTTAG